TTTTTTTTAAATTTAGTTTCCGCCAAAATCAGTATTGTATCTGGTCGGTATTGAAAAGTCAATTTTTTATTTTACGCAAAATGCGATATCTGCTGAGTTATTCTGTCATGTTTTCTCCCTTTTTTTCCAAACCACGACAAACGCCAGTTTCCCTTTTCTGCAGAATGCGATATATCCGCTCAACCAATCACAGCGCACCATTCCACGTACTCTAGACAGTAATGGCGGCGCTTTGAATACACCCGGCATCCTAGTTTTCCTCATCTACTTTGTACTTTGTGATCAACAAACAAACTTAGGGCTGCACGATAAATCGCATGTGATTGTCATGCGCATCTCGTCAGTAAAGCCGGTTCTGTGATTAATAGTAAATCTCCATCATGTGCTTTCAGATGGAGCGGCATTTAATACACAGAGCCGTCGATAACTGCAATATCGCGTTCATAATCGCAGATTAGTCGCATTCGATTATGAACGCGATATTGCTTAGCTTGTCAGTGTAAGTGTTTTTATTTATGCCATTAATGTTTTTGTTAATACAGCGTATAGCACTAGTCAACTAAATGAATGTAACATGGCAAAGATGAATGCACTTTTGGAAGTTGAATGTAAGGGAAATGTCATTTTGGAATTTCTGTGGTTTAATGTGATATTGTTGTTCATGTATGTTCATGATGAAATTTGATTTTATTGTTGTAATTAATTTATAGAATTAACAAGATGACCCGTTTAATTATTTTTGGAGCTATGACTGATTGAATGTATTTTTAGTCCAGTGCCTGCATATAAGATTAGTATTGACCAAGTTCAGAGGCTGTCATATGTGGATATGCATGTTGAACAGGACTATTAAGAAAGAGACAGTATTGTATCAATACTATTGTGACTTTATGGCTCAGTTGACTGGTATTTTATCTCCATAATGTTTTGAATATAATTTCTGCATGCCCTTACAGCGCAGTTTGGCTCTTCTCATTTCTTCTCTCTGCTCCTCTGTGATATGTTGGGGTGGTGCTCTGAAGTACGACATGACCGTAAGGAATTCCTCAAAACCAATTTCTTCCACAGATCCCACACCATCTTTCTGGAAGTTCCTGTGAAGAACAAGTGGGCATAGTAATGTGTTATTGCTCCATATCAACAGTTTTGCTAAGCCCTGAATGCTAAACTTTCATGTTTATGGTTTGCAGATGATTTTGACCAATGGCACTCTTATATCTTATATATAAGATATATATATGAAGAGTTTGGTTCCAAAACGCCATAAACGCCTTTTTTTTTTTTTTAAATAGAGTTTCCGCCAAAATCAGTATTGTATCTGGTCAGTATTGAAAAGTAAATTTTTTATTTTACGCAAAATGCGATATCCGCCGAGTTATTCTGTCATGTTTTCTCCCTTTTTTTCCAAACCGCGACAAACGCCAGTCTCCCTTTTCTGCAGAATGCGATATATCCGCTCAACCAATCACAGCGCACCATTCCACGCACTCTAGACAGTAACAACCAATGACAGCGCACCATTCCACGCACTCTAGACAGTAAAATCTGGATTTGAATTTTTTATGTTATTATAACCTAAAGACGCTATGTGAAAGTTTGAAACAGAAAATAGTGGTTTTCATCTTGCCACTTTCTTGGTAAAGAAAACACATTTTTACTCAAATTAATCAAAATGTATTTATAGCGTTTTGGAACCAAACTCTTCATATACTGTATAAAGCTAGCATATAAAGAAGAAAAAGCAACACAGTGCATCAAGACTTCCCTTTACTATAAAAGTATTGTTTCACATTCATTTTGAATAAAGACAGTGCCACTGACATTTGTGATGTTTAATGAAACTTTAAAAATGTGACTTAGTATTTAAATGTAATCTCAAATTCTGAGGCAGTAGGGGATAATTTCAAGCATCACATAACTCTTGTCACTATTAAAACCATATAAAATATACAGTATATAAACAAGCACAAACCTACTATCGAAGAAAGCTTCTATAATCTGGGACCGAATTGGGTTGCTTTCTAGGTCTTGGATTGTTTTAAGGTCATCTCTCCTTTAAATGAGAACACAATTAAGTTTGACAGGTAAAAGGCAGGCATTATGGTTTGTATACTTGTGTATGAATATATGTTGTATAACCAACCAAACCACCTAAGCAGACACATAAATAAAGCACAGCAATATTTTTTCTAAAAGTCAGTACCAGCATAACTGGTTTGATTTGATACTTGAAAGGCATTCTGAACAGTCATTTTGTTTCAACACTCAGACAAGAACAATTCTGCAGAATCATCTCCCACACAAAACAACCACTTGCAGATTACCGTAATGTTTCCTCGTTTTGGCTGAGCTGCTTAAAACGATTGTGGAGAATTGCGATCTGCTCCAGTGAAACTGAAAGAGAACAAAAGTAATGGAGACATGTGTGAAGTCAACACAACTGCTAAAACTTCTCTAAGAGCCTCACACACACAGCTGTTATTTGACTAACTCTTCTAACTGAATTATGAATGATCACATGAGTCATGCAGTAGCCTAACCTTAAAGAGACCGGTCAACCAAAAATACAAAATTCGGTTACACTTTACTTGAAGGGGTGTGCATAAGACTGACATGGCACCTTCATAATCATGACATGACACATGTCATGAATATGAAGGTTTTTTATGCATGTTTTTTATTACAACTGTCATTAAGTGTCATTCGCTCAGTTATGTAATTTTTAATGCAAAGATGACATTGTTTGAGATGTCTTTGTTATGGGCTATGGTTAGGGGTAAGGGTAGGGGTAGGGTTAGGTTAGGGTTAGGTCAAATAATGTCATATTTGCATTAAAAATGACATAACTGAGCGAATGACATTTAATGACAGTTGTCATAAACATGCATAAAACCTCCTTCATATTCATGACATGTGTCATGTCATGATTATGAAGGTGCCATGTCAGTCTTATGCACACCCCTTCAAGTAAAGTGTTACCCAAAATTCTGTCATCATTTACTCACCATCATTTTGCTCCAAACCCATATGACTTTATTTCTTCTGGAGAGCACAAGGGTAATGTTAGAGACTGATATCATCAGTCATTGTTCAATTACATGGAAGAAGATGAAAGCAAATGTTAATTGAGTCTGTCATTAAGGCTGCCAGAAAACATCTCCATCTGTCATATGGGTTTGGAACAACATGAGTGTGTAAACGATGAATGGGTGAATTATCACATTTTTATGTTGTTTAATTCCATATTTCGGGTCTGCAGTACAGAGGTATCAAACTAAGCCTCCATAACCACTTGTAAAACCAGATGCACCGTTTTGTCATCCTATGTCCATATAAACAATCATTAATACTAATAACCAAAAATCAACATTCATAGTTTCCACAGGTAGGCTACATATTACACTAAATATATGCAGTACAGATCTGAGCTGTAAATTACAAGCAGTGCAAAGAAGATATTTCCGACATGTGACTAGGCTAAATTATTTATCATTTATATAATTATACGTTTCCTGTGTATATGGTGCTGCGTATGTCAACTATTAAGTAATGGGTTATTAATTACATTAAACATAAACCCTTCCTAATAGTTATACTCACAGCCTGTCTTCTGTGACAGGGTCCGATATTGATGGTCATCCGGCAAAGACTGAAAGCTTCCCATCACGACAGTGTGATCCTACACCAATAAGCGTGTATGCGAGTCTGTTCCTCGATCTTCCGGTGGTTTAGGTTTCACTCACACACCCGTGTTTGCCTTGCAGAACACACGCATGCAAATTGCATGTGCCTTGTGAGAAAGAGAACATGTCCCCTGGGTCCTAGCGCCGCATGAACATCCTCTGCATCAACTGCTGCTGTCCTAAGAATTCACGCCTACTTTGCTAATCCAGTTTCTGAACGTTGATCACGCCCAAACCAGATATTAAAATATAGTCAAATATTGTGTCTACACAATGAAGACTGAAGAGAACGGAGCTATCTCGGCCGCGTTCATTCATAATACATGTCACCGTGACATCAGCTGTACAGCTCTTTCTGGAAAACAGAAATGAAACACTGACATTTCTGAGAAGGCCACAGAAAAGCAGCCTTCGATAAATTGACGGGATAATAGCAAAGGAAGGAGATATACATCTATTTTGTCACGTCTAATAGTCTAAATTATTATTGCCCTGGCCTGAGCAGTATTAGCGTCCTCAGCCCTTTCCCTGGAAAAAAAACAAACTCGAAATCGTACAGTCCTTCACTCTAATTGCATTATTTATTTGTATTCAGCATCAGGCAATAGTGGATAAACACAAAACTAACCCATAAACTAGATTATCTTGACAAAAGCATTAAAAAAGTAGGGGCGGTATTAAAAAAAAAAGAGGCCATTACCTAATTTAATACCACACTGCAAAAAAATGATTCTTTCTTTGTGTTTTTGTCTTGTTTTCCAGTATAAATGTCTAAACATTATTCAAATTAACTATTAATTATTAAAATCAACATTAAGCAAATCAAGCAAAATTTAGTATGTTCATGCTTAAAACAAGAAGAAATATCTGCCAGTGGGGTAAGAAAGGGAAAACGGGATTATTTTTTTCTTAACCCATTGGCTTTTTTTAATGTAATTTTAATTCTGTTTAGAATGTTTAGATATTAATACTGGAAAACAAGACAAAAATGCTGAGTAAGAAAATATTTTTGCAGTGCAAATTATAAAGGTAGTAAGGTATGAGGTATAAAGTAGGCTAGTCTACTTTTTAACCCTACTGGGAGAGAGAGAGAGAGAGAGAGAGAGAGAGAGAGCGCTATGTAGCTTTATGCTTAATACCTTTTTTAAGATATACTGTGCCCACAAGACTTGCTTTAAAAGTCATATAATTTATATCGAAGCCTATTAAAGGGGTCATATGATGCTTTTTAAAAGATCATTATTTTGTGTATTTGGTGTAACATAATATGTTGACATGCTTTAATGTTCAAAAAACACATTATTTTTCAAATACTGTACATTATTGTAGGTCCTCTAAACTTTACAGATCTTCTTTATGCACCAAGAGCTTGTAACACTCCAAAGAGAAAGGAAAACTTGAAATCGCATCATATGACCCCTTTAAATCTATTTAATTTTGTAATGTATCAATCTACCACACGATGGCAGTAAAGATCATGACATCAACCTATCAATCTGTTGCCCAGTAGATTGCGTAGACCTTTTTTTCACTTTTGAAAGCACATAATGTAATATTAAATGGCAATAAAATTGACAATAAAGGAATAATCAAATAAAACGTTTTACATGACTTGTGTTAATGCATTTCTGGCGTTATGGGGGTGTGGAGCAGTAATTCACAAACATTCATTGGCTATTGATCCAGGGAGTACTTAAATATTTTGACTCCATGCAATACATCTAAAAATGAATGATGATGTCAGTTTTATACCATAAATGTCAATATTAAAATAATTGCTGACAAAATGAGTTAAAAACTGTTAAATAAACTGCCTGATAAATAAAAGTGCAACATTTGTCATTGCACAAGTCAGCTATCTGATTTGAATCCAACTGAGCCTTGAGCTTACACATTATGAGACCTTAAAGTAAAGCTGACAGTCTGACCCAGTTTAGATCCAAAGTGTGAAGAATAGTCAGTAAAAACACTTCAAACCTGCCTTGATCTGGTCTAGCTGAGCTGTACATTTACGTCCACTTGAGACAGAACACACCAACAGCCAAAAACAGAGCAAGGGGTCGTCTTGTTTCTGTCTTTAGTTACTTAATCCAATGCACTGAAGATCTGACATTGTAAGACTGACACAGGCCATGATGGTCTTGAATAGCAACAGAATCCGAAGAAAATCAGCAAGATAATTTCATGTTAATAATTTACATAAAACTAATTATGGGCTTCAAGTAGATTTTTCCAGATAAGCCTTTTGAAGTCTTTTGGAATGGATCACCATAGCTCTTTTGAATGCAGCTGACCAAAGCTGCCACCAGATCCACAGTGCCAGTGATGTGCTGCATATATTTGCAGAAGAACAATATTGGTTCACATAACATCTACATGACCTGGCAAGACTAGAATTGATCATCTTTATTTGTTGACTTGTACTGGTGGAATTTTCTTTGAATTTGATTGTGATATTCTCACAGTGAAATAGAGAAACACTTCTCTTTATACTTTAGTGCCGCATTTAAAATGCAAATCTTGATAGATTAACTACAGAGTATAATGTGTGTTAAATGCAATAAGGAAACATTATGAATTCAAATGTAGTGCCGTCCATTCGTTTTTTTTTTGTATTAAAAACAGAAAAATAAGAAAACGGTTCCCGTTCCTTTTTTCTCCTCCATTTAAAAAAAAAAAACAATAAAAGAAGAATTATGCTTCATTTTTACTGTTTACGTTCAGGGCTAGAAAATGAATAAACGGCTTGAATATAATAGTGAAGGTTACTTATTTAACTGGTGATGCAAGAGAATGAAGAGAATCATGTGCTGACGCGAAATGTTGATCATGAATTCTTTATTGACTGTAAACCTTTGGTAGATTTGAATCTCATTGATTTAAATCACATGAAACTATTTGGTCTCACAGGAACATCAGAAGACTTAAACATGAAACTGTACACTGCAAAAAAAAAAAAAAGGTTAAATTTTACATTAAAATAATGTTAAATGTACAGGTTTTGGAAGTGAAAAAGAACAATTCATCTTATCATTTACAATTTAAACTTTAAATTGACATTCCCAAAATTACCCATGTGACACTTCACATTTGATGGGTTTTCACTGAAATAACTAGTTAGGGTTCGTTACACAATATGTTGTTAAATGACTGTTTATTGCATTATTTTAGTGCCATGTGTGCACCTTCTACTATTTACCTCAGCTTGTGAAAAAGGTACTTGTGATAAGTTTTGATTAATAATGTGGCTTTCTTAATACAGCTGTGTTTTGGTAGTTGTTAGTGTATTACAAAGGCACAGAACAGATTTTTGTGCTTCAATAGATTTGTATATTAACATTATATCAGTTGATGAAATGTTTTTGTTTCTTTTTTTAACTGCAAGTTTCAATCTATATAAAACCTAAAATATTACTGCAGTCTGGAAATTAGAGCTGCTGTGGGTTTTTTTTTTTTACCATAAATTTCACAGATTGTTTTTTTTACAGTGTATACCAAAATAGGTTTTGGAGATGTACCATAAAAACTAAACACAAATGAACTGTACCCTGTATGGTATTTTATATTAGTGCCCATAATATTAGTATTAACCAACAAACCCGCTACCAATGTCAGAATTCGCATGCAGTTCTACACAAACAACGGTTAAGACAACTATAGCCCTCCTTAAAGAACAAACATTAATATTAGTTTAGGGAATTACGGGGAAAACAAATGGAATAATTCCCATTGCAAATCCTGGCTCTGGCTCTCGGCCAACTTCTGATGCTCCTCACACTTTGGCCACCCCCACCAGCGGAGAGAGTCACTGTCTGTGTCTCAGTACCCCCAGGACGCCCTCTCATTCAGAGCAGCTGTTGTCTGAGAGCTAGAGGCAGCTCTCGGACACTCTGTCAGACTCTCCTCTTAGAGCCCCTCCTCTGCATGCCAAACAGGCAGCATGTCCTCACGTTCTCATGATGGTTCTTTCATTAAAAGCAAATATCTTCAATTAAATCTCCATAAAAGTGTACTGAAGGCATGGGATTGTGCGATGACCCCGCCGTTTGATCTGTCAGCCCATATTAGGTATGCAACATCTAAAAATTGGAATTGTTTTTATTCAAAGCTTTGTTATTATTCAAGAAGCAGAGAGCTGCCTTCTTTCATTGTCAATTATGTCAACTTATACCGGATAGGAGTGGACATCATGTCCTTGAGCTTTATAGCAAAGCCGCAGTGCAAAGAAAAGAAATGCATTACACCTCAGAGCAGACAGCATACTCCTTTAGTAAACAGCGTAATGTTTCAAAGCTCATGAGAGGGTCTTACTGATCGACCTAGAATTCCATCATATTGGAGTCTACAAAGCATTCAAAGGAGACTAAAAACACATTTAATATTATGTAATTTGCACAAATTGTAAAAAGTGTAAAAACAATCATGTTCAACTCTAAAATACTGATCAAAAACTAACTGGTTGCCTTATAGACTGTAGTCAATGCGTCCACTTCCCCTGCTTTAAGACTTTTGCTAAGCCTCTGCGTACATGCAGAAGAGCGAACAGGACATCTCATACTGCAATGCAAAATTGTTTGGTGTATGACACTATTTCAAGTGTGGTATAGTTTGATTGAAACTATAATTCCAGCAAGTTCAATTTACAGAACATATACAGAACAAAACAAATGATGGCCAGTCTTTTTAGAGTTTTAGTCTTAAAACTTGATGTAATGTCTGCAACCTTTATATCCAGGCCGTGATCACAACTTCTTGATATTGGATATGGGAAAACCGGGATCCGTTTTATTCTGAGTATGCCAAGTCACCCATCCCCTATCCTATTTCACTCTTGAAACTTCCACTTAGAAAAATGATAAAGTTTGACTAAAATTTACATTTAGGTACAAAAAGTTAAAGAAAAGACCCACTAATGCATTTTTGTTCCCAAAGAAAGTCCATGGGAATTGTGAGAGCCATTATAGGTCAGATCTAAATGAAGCGTTTCAGAGGCTGCCTACGGTGACAGCTCACACCAGATAAATATTTAAATCACACATGGTAGAAAATATAAAACTAAGAGCACTGCCGTTGAGAACAGGATAAGAGAGGAATACATAAACAAATATGCCACTGACCAGCACCAAACCTCTCCTACAAGAGTTTTTACAGGAGTCAAACTTCTTCATTTTGTATTGGCAAAACCGTGAGGCCTTGGAATTAGAACTTCTCCGGGAAGTGATACAGTTCATGATGATATCACTAACAATTAAAAAAATTAAAAAAGAATTTTCTAAGTGTCAAATGATTTAATGCAGCTAGTAGCGTAATTTGAAATGCAACAATGACAATTCTCAAATCTACAAAACCTATAGACCTCATGCGTCAAAGAAACAAGTGCGCAGCCGTCTTTAGAATTTTGTCTTTGAACTTTTGTTTTTGCGGTAGCTCTATAGCATCGCTGGTGAAGTGGATTTACTTATTGTAGAGGTAATGAAAGTTATCATGTGCATTGTAATGTTTAAAAGCGGTTGTCATAACAAATGTCAGCACACCGGGAAGATTTTAATAAGAACAGTTCATTCATAAATTTGCACGACCTTACCTTCATGCTGTGGAAATACAAAAAGGAAGACAGAAGACAATGAGCGCAGTGCTGAAAAGGGGCAGGGCTACATAAGGTACACTTAGAGTGCATATGACAAAAATACTCATAACATGACTGTTGTATATTCATGGTAACTGCAATGTAAGCTGTTTTACGGTGACATTTTGAAATATTTAAAAATCGGTGCTACTCTAAAAAGTCAAATGCAGGCTTAAGATAAGGGCATGTCACACAGTTTTGTATTAAGTGGAGTTTTAGACAGGAGCTCCTCTGTAAATCAAACCAAATTTCATACATTTTCAAGACCAGATTGCACTGGGTCATAGGAGAGGAAGCAAAATTATTAATCAGATCGAATGCTGTGACTGCAGTTAACTGTACAGATGATTATTCATGATAATTTTTAGTGACTGTGACTTTATAATGTGCATCATTAAACTTAAGTTAATATTATAAATGGTTAAAAATATGAATATGAATAAATATGAATGTAACTATTATGATATTTGAACATACATTTATATTTTTGATATTTGATGTTTTCAGGTGGCCTAGTTCTTAGAAGTTAAGGAATTCATTTTTATACAGTAAAAAGGCTGTATTTATATATCACATAAACAACATACAAATTCATAAAAAAATGTACACAACTGTAAGACATTTCATTTTTTTAAAATTCATATTAATTAGTATATATTTTTTTTCTATTATAGATTCTTCCTATCTTTTCCTAAGTTTGTTTGTGCAGGCATCAGACAGCCATTAAACGGCAGACGCTTCTCTAAAACGTTTCCATCCACCTCACATGTTCATGAGTACAACACAAACACATTAAGTTACTTGCAGCAAGCAGAACATTTCCACCTTTCAACCAGAGGAAGTTCACATTCAACCAACGCATGCCATTCAGCCAATTAAAGTGTGACATTGTTTCATGGCAGCAACAAGATTAATCGTGCGACAGTAGCTTCCTGAATTAGATATATCGGGGCTCTTGAAACACCCCTTTCAAACTGGTCTTTCCTAAGGATTGCCATATTAATCTCCCCCCTCTTTTCATTCTTCGGCGGGGAGCTCATCTGCTCTGTCCCTGTGTGCCATGAATCAAGCATTTGTGACTTGCATACAGAGGAAGCTTCCTCAGGCTGTTCTCTCATGGTAATCCCTGACAAGCGTCTGCTTCCCAAAGAAACTCACATTTAGCCTGATTTTTTGGCGGGTTATGACACACACAGCAGGAGACAAGCAACCTTGACTGTGTTTTGAGAGGCCGGCCACTGGACTTCAGGGCTAACATTTGACCTTGGGGAATTCATTAGTACATTTAAAGAGATCATAAAAGCATATTGGCCCACTGTTGCAGATCTTTCAGGGAAGCAGAGGTCTCTTTTATGATGCCTTTGTGGCAATTGATCCGTTTTTTTGCTGTAACAATTCCCAAACGGCCTCTTAAGAGAGACGATCAATGTAACAAGGTAGGTGGATGACAAAGAATGCTGAAACATTTGTACAAACAAACAGCAGTAAAGACTACCCTACATTAATATCATCAGAACAATTAATCAGTGCACAAAGTCATGGGGGGGGAGGTCCCCTTTGCTTGCACAATTCAAGGTCAAAACCCATAAAATATTAATGGTTCACTCAATTAAATGCTCTGTGTTGTTCGCATGAAGGGTGTATAACGGGGATGCTCATCTATAACATAACCAGGAAAAATTAAATAGGCAATTTACGGCTGCTTTTAGTACAAGTGTAATTGCTTCAACACAGTATAACAACTCAAAGAGCTCAGTCCAGCTCCTTGTGAATAAACCATGAGGTTTGTCCCCAGGGTCACCTTGTAGGAAACAATAATGGTCAGACTGCCAGTATAAACTCCTGGTTGAGAAGGATGGGCTAAATCTACTCAGACAATGACTAGCATAGTGGGTCCTTGAGGATAATGAATTAGCCAAAATTTTTAAGGCCACATACTAAAATACCGCAGTGCAATTTACCTCCTGACAGACGAAAGTCTGAAGGGGTTCCTTTCTGTACATTAGATCAAGGTTTTATGTTGACATTGTCTCTGTATAAGAGCATCTAAAATGGTGTGCAATAGCCTACCTGAAAGAAAGGGGAACATCTGAAAAATGTAGTCATTTACACACATAACCTTGCAATGGAAAAGAACAGAGAAATTGGCACAGTAAACATTACATCTCAGGTACTGTTGTTCACATTGAAAATAATGCTGTACGCAGAATATTTAATTCATTTTTGGCATTATATTCAGCGGTAAGTGTATAGTACTTTTTGGTTTTAAAAGGGGGTTAAAAAAAACACATTAAACAAGCAAAGAATTAAATTGTTCAATTAAAAGCTTTGGAATCTGTTATCCAAAAACATTTCTGATATTTTTAAAGGGGTCATATGATGCGATTTAAATTTGTCCTTTCTCTTTGGAGTGTTACAAGCTCTTGGTGCATAAAGAAGATCTGTGAAGTTGCAAAGACTAAAGTCTCAAATCCAAAGAGATATTCTTTATAAAAGTTAAGAGTCAACCACGCCTACCTAAAATCAGACTGTTAGTAAGTTTTTTTATATTTAAGAATTTGCCACTGACGATTCAAACGCGAGTTTTGAACAGTGTAGAGTAGCGCTTGTTGTTTGTCATTTCTCCGATCACAAATGCAGACATGAGCTTTGTAAAAATCGACGCGTTTCAGAAAGGCGGAGCACAGAGGAGAAACAATAATGTACAGTATGTGGAAAATAATGTGTTTTTTTAACCTTAAACCGCATAAACACATTTCATTACACCAAATACACCAAATAATGTTCTTTTTAGCAACATCATATGACCCCTTTAAGACTGGGGAGCTGAAGGATGTGCCAGAGTAAATGACACAATATTCAACATCAGTCCATTCATTAAAATGCCCTGATCCACTAACACATTAACGCAAAATTGAAAAAAGGAAAGTCACCTTCTCTGAGGGTGACCTGCAGACACTGACACTGACATAAATGTAACTAGTATTTCATAAAAACTATTTAGCAATTTCAGTTGACCTAATCTGTCAACAAAGTCATCCAGAATCCTTTTAAAGGCGGGTAACTGAGTCTGCTTAAACGGTAAAGTGTATTGAGGCATGTGGAGGCAGTACATAATACAGCATTCAGTTTTTCCAGCATTCAATCACCAATTACAAGAAAATACATTGTTTTGAAATTGTTTTCGCAGCTGACCAGGGTGCCCTGCTTAAAGCCTCGAGAAACAATCTTAATTACATGCATGAACCTACAATTAACCAGCTCTGTGCAAGAATAATTGAATGCAAGTAAATATACGATGTAAAATGTTCATTTGAAACTGCAACTGGATATAGAGTCAAGTCAAGTCTGCTTTATTGTCAATTCTTCCACATGTACAGCACATACATACAGAGAATTGAAATTGCATTACTCTCAGACCCTTGGTGCATACAGATAACACTAACAGTAGAACATAAATACAGATAGATACAGATTAAATATAAAATACAACTATACAAATAAGGTCATGTAAACAAATAAATAAAGCAGCACAAGGCACATGGCAGATAGAGTGCAAACCAGTGAAGTAAACAAACAGTGCAGATATAATGATTGTAGTGCAAAGAGCTTATTCAGACTGATTAAAGTGACATCCTCTAAAGTGACCGATTAGAGGATGTTAAACTGGTTAATATCAGGCCAAACTAAGACAAATGTATTTTCTGCTCCCCCCCCACCCATAATATAGCGAGACCCAAGCAAAAACTTTATATGTTAGCCTCGGGTTGGAGGTATGGGGTCAAAGGAATTTGAAATGGACATATTGTCAAGTCAGTCCTGTTACACAGTTCCCATGGGTGAGTAAAGATGTCACCTCTCTCACTACATGAGAGGCTTGGGAGAAACTTGCGTCAGGTTTTGGAAACCTCATACAGGAACAAGAGCAGAATGTAAAAGAATTCTTTACTCTGACTGGTGAGAATTTTCCATAATACAGGTGAACCAAAAACGGATTTGTGCCAAAGATGTCTGCAGGAACAAACAAACAGAATTAGACTGTTGCTGCTGAGCTTTTCTCAAAGACTGCTGTTCAGTAAACTGCTACACCTCAATTTATTTTCTTCTGTTTGTTCCTTTTTTAAGTGGAACATATAATGCAATATAGAACATTTTTTTGGTCTATGGATAGTGTGGTGAGAAGGCTATAAAATCTATCAAATGTACTCTACACTCGCAAAAATAAAGGCTCTTCATTGGCATTGTGGTTCCATGAAGAATCTTTCACATCCATGGAACCTTTGTACTGCACAACAATTTCTTCATAGTGAAAAAAAGTCCTTTAGACTTTGAAAATGTTCTCCACACTAAGAAAAATGGCTAACTGTCACCCCCCATTTTTTAAAATAGGCATGCGGGTGCACTATCCAAACTTAAATTGTTGTAATTTATGAACACTTTGGAATACATACATAAGGTTGGTCTCTTTTTAAAGAAGAAAATCAGCAGATTATCGCAAAAGTGGAATGTTTTCAAAAAATGTAAGTATCAAAAAGTTATGGTAGTTTAAATTTACTGTAAAGGAAATGCACTATATTAATTTTATTTTATTTTTATATATAATAAATATTTTACATAACAGGTTTTACTCTAAAATTGGTATAAAATTAAAAACCTTTCCAATTATATGTTTTTTGTCAAGATTATAAAAAGGGTTGATTCTAAAAGATCATAATGCATTTTGTAATATGACACTTGACACTGCCCACTAAGGGGGAGGAGACCGCCAAAAGATTTTAAAGTACCATTTCCACGGTAACGCAATGTCCGATTTCAAAATGGTTTTCACAGGATGAACCTTGGGCTTCTAATCTTTCAAATGATATATGATTTATGATGATTACTAAAAGATTTAATAAAAAGGAAAAAGAAAAGTAAAAGAAAAAGGACAACAACAAAAAAGAGCGCCAAGCGTCCCAAAGGTGGGACGGTGACAGTTAAAGGGTTAAGGACTGACCACTGAAAGGGGCACCAGAAATGGTTCTTCTCTGAAAACTCCCTTTTGGAACCTTGCTAAAATCTCATATGGTGTGGTATTCTCCCATATAGTACAATCACAAAATGTGAGTCATTGTGGAATTTTATTTGAAAACCAAACGAAAGGTTTATTGGCCATGTTTTAATTTTATTGACTTGACATGTTATTTTATAAATAACAAACTACAGATTTGATCACTAAGAACACAAGCTCCTGCTGCAGGTCTTCTGAGATGTCTGTTATGAACTTGTATCTGTTATGGCCTTTGAGCTTAATGTCACCGCAGAGAATACTCTTAACCTTTTGTAGTAGGTAGCAGTTATGAGACTATATTGCTCTTTCCTTCTTTGTTCTTCTTTGTTCCATTCGGTCCCTATAAATATTTATAACTGACATTGCTGCTATGCTTCAAACATATCTAATGCGGTTTTGTAACAACGCTATGAATAATACTAACATATGAAATTGAATATTAATATATTACTCCATATAAATCCTACAGATAAAAAACCTTAAAAAAAATGAAACTGTTTTACACTTTGAAACGATCGTTTGCCACTTCAGAGAGATGCGAGTAATAAAGTCAAACTGCAGTTGTCCTTTTCATGTGATATCTCTCCATGAGAGCCGGACCAGCAGTCCTCTCTCCTCAGACTCTAGGAATGGCGCCACTTCCCTTAAATGCTATTAGCAGACAGATACGACAAAATGGAGGAAGGCTGATACAATTATTGTGCGATTCAGACCATCCACAATCTTTCGGCCTTGAATGTTTACGGGTCAAATTCTGATGCGCACACACACACACACAACAAATGGTTTGAGGTTTTCTGGTTTTTCATATTATTTAGGCACACACACAACAGTCAATATGTCCAGTCCTCTCTAGGGTGGTGCATATTGTGCCCTGGCTGGTATAGCTATCATCCAACATTAATTGAACTGAGGGACACTCAGGACTTTTAGGGCATGGTATTTCACGCCGTCCTGATAGGACACCAGGAGAGCAGGAGGAGAGAATTGCTTTGAAGTGATTCATTGGTGGAGGACACTGTGCCATACATCACCAATGCCACACTGATTATATGAGTTTTCACTCTATAAACAATGGATCACTTTCACGGTGGCAGCTTTAGGCATTGCTAATCTTTTGTGCCTTTGTTTATCTTTCACATAAATGCTTGACTTGTTTTATATGCTAAAATCAATGCCACATTTTGAAAAACATCTTAAATTTGCCATTTAAATCATTGCATCTACAGTATTTATAATATTCTAATCAGAATGCCACAACAAATACACTTAACAATGAACTACAAATTTACCGATCATTGACTGCACTTTATATTACAGGCTGTTCTGTCTCACTTAATATAGCTATGGGCCCTTTACACAGACTGTGATGAAGTTTTTTATATTTATGCTATTCTTATTAGCGAATCTTTCCCCTCTTTTGACCAACATAATCAATCTCTTGATTTTTTTCTCTTTTCGAAACGTCATAGAAAGGTTTTTGTGTTTTGCTATTGGAGCAAATGAGCAAAAAATATATTCGTTGAAGTTTCCGTTCACCTTCCGCTTCTTAGAACCCTGGAAATGTGAAAAGGGTCTATTTAAAAAATAGTCAGAAATATAAAGCATATCTGAGGTGCTTGTTTTCAATCAAGCTAAATAATTTATTTACTCAGTTGTAAAGGTTAGTTGTCCCCTTCCACATGTAAATGAGAGGGCACTAATGAAGTCAAATAACGATGCCAGCAGTGAGTGGTTACACCAGATGTGTAGAGAGATTAGATGAGGCTGAATCAAAGTCAAGGCCAATCTTAGATGATCAGCTTGATGAGAACTGTACACCAGCTCCACCAACTCTAAATAAATTATTGTAACAGTCGAAGTGTTCTAATTGCATCATGAGGACATTTAGAGACTGTGGGGGTCCTGTAGGACCTCAGAACTCATGCGAGCAAAACACAGAGCCCACAGTAAACAAGGACGTTCAAGGACGACATCCAAGCTGTAATATCTGCAATGAGGCAGGAGTGCTTATAATGATGACAGAAATAATTTCACCCGCCAACACAATCTTCTTATGGTTTACTTGATGTTGTCTCCAATAAAGACTAGGGCAGTTAAATAATGAAAATCTTATAGAGAAATTCCTCTTGAGTTTCAGATTAGTCCAGTCAACAGTCATTGTTGAGCACTTAGAATGGAGAAACTGGGGGCGGAAATTATTGATAATAATTATAATTATATAATATATAATTATTAATAAGTGTTTTTCTGCATTTTCATATACAGCCACGACATATTTTAGTTGTTCAAAAACAAATGAAACATAAAAGTTGATTATTTACTAAAAAACTATTTAGAGTGATCGTCAGCTAAATTCGAGTTCAAATCAGGTTAGTGTTTTTCCTGTACTGTTAAGTGTAATACAAAGAAAGTTACTATTGTTTAGGAATGATGTCATTAATGTATGACCTGATTGACCTTTAATAAAATATTCACAATATCCTGAAGATAAGGGGGCGTTCAGAGACATGACGAACATTTCTTATTTTAATATGTCAGACTGATTTCATGCTATGACTGATTGGAGACTTATTTGCATTATGTCATAGTTCTGCTCACCTGGGAGGCATAAATATCTTTAGCTGAGCATATTAGTTGGAAACTTGATTCATTCATCAGGAATCTCATGCAAAATACATTTCTAAATAAAACACCTTGCTTCCTGAGTGATTTCTGCATATTTAGGAATCATTTAAATGACCTTATTATACTGAGGTGGGCTGATGAATTATGTGAACAGTTAAAGTGTCCATAAAACAGGTTGAAAAAATGTGTATATATTTGTGAGTTTATTTTAGCTGTGATCAATTGAGAAAACAAATTTAACATGATAATTATTTGGAGACCCAACTCAACCTGAATAATCCAGAAGAATCAGGTCAAACTATCATGGAGCTTAAATTATAAGAGCATATTTCACATTATCTAGACTCGCTGAGCCTCTTTAATGGGTTAATTTATATGAGTAGCCTTTGTTTGATATAACCCAAATCATTACTGGGTTGAAATGAATCATTGCCCTCTACATGACACTATCGAAGTCATAAATCTCAAGCAAATATGCCGTTTGTAGTAGGAAATTTAATTTAGAGAAATACATTCAAATTTTGTTGACAAAAGACATTAGACCAGAATAGGAGGTACAAGGAGAGACACAAATTATTTTTATACTCTAGGGTCAGTTCATGACATACAGCAATGCTTAAATTTCATTTTCGCTCTGCATGAAAATTTCAAGGTGACCAATATAAAATGCATTTGATTAAAATGTAAAAATTAAGTTTATATAAAAATATACATCACATGTAGTACCATACAGGAGCCAATTATTCCAGTTTTACCATATATTATAGACACCCTCTGCTCAGTAGACCCTAAGCTGTTTTCTCTCTTGATAAACTGATTATATTCTGAACACATGTGGATATCTATTAAACAAAGAAAAGGCACCAATGAACAGTCATCCGTGTAAATGCCTCTCTAGGCAATTACAGACACAATCAATATTCCCAAAAGCGTTTGGGACAGTAAACGGTTACAATGCAATACAATACAATGCATTTATGAGGTTTTGAAGTATCTCTCTCTGCTCTGTTAGTTTAACAGATTACATTTGTCATGCAGTGAAATATGGTACTGCTTTGTTTTATCAATTATGTTTTTTCTCTGATGCAAGCAAAATTGTCAACAAGTACCAATCTATCAGAAAAAGACACGAGCTAATGTTTCGCTACATCATTTTAGTACAACTTAGTACAAGTAACTGTGACAGAGTACAGAGCATCAGAACAGTCTCTTCCATTCCAGTCATGATATTCTGCCTTTCGCTTGATCCAGTTTGCCACCATTATCAGACAGTTCTGAGAGGACTGAAGACTATAGGGTGAAAGTGCTTAAGAGATTTCAAAGAGGCTGTGAATTAAAACACAAACCACGTCACTTGCAATTAAACAAAATCAATACATGCAACTCTACTAGGAGTGAAGAGGAATATAAGAGCTCTCAGCTCATGAAACTTAGAACACTTTGTTTTTTCAAAGTTTTAGATTTTCGACCACTACAGAAACCATCTTAAAATCAGTAATCCCACTGTTACTGTGCCCTTGACCAAGGCACGTAACCTCAGGTCGTTATAAGACATTGATCTGGAATTAGTGTGGATAAATCAACTTGGATTAAAAAGTGACAGCTAAATGGCAAGTTTCTAAGTTAGAGCAGTGAAGAAAAACTTCACCATATTCAAACGCATGCTAACTGCTTCCAGATTTCCTAATGGCAGTTGTCAGACAGACATTTGACTTGAGAGACATGGGGAAAGAGTCAGGTGCAGCAGAGAGAGATCAGTTCTGAGACAAGCTGTCAAACAGTCCAACAGCACAAGCTGAAAGCTTAGACAAGCCAGCACATTCTGAATAACGAGCTGCTGCAAGATTTCAACACATGCAAAACAACATATTCAAGGAAAGATGACTTGTGCAGCATTTCTCTTAATGTAAAGGTTGGGTTGATAATACATAAGTATACACAAACACATATCTTTTAAAAATATCTGACCTTCTTGTGCAGTTAAAAGGGAAGAAACACAGCACTTGCATTGCCTATTTTCATGCCTGTTAATTTTACCTCAATTGAAATCATTCAGAGCTGCAGTTCTGCTTTATAAATCACGCATCGTTTTGCAAGCCACATTTGACCTATTTTTATAACTTCTAGTGCTTTATTCTGCCCCAGAGTGAAAGCCACTTTCATTTATTGAAGACGACACCGAAAGTAACTTTAGAAACTTTGTTAACTTTGGTTCATCTAGATGCAATAACTATCGAATAACAGAGAACTCTGAAAACAAAGCCAAAGCACTGGCAAATCCAGCACATTTTGTTCTCAGAAGCATCCACTTCAACAGCCTCATAACTTATAAACAAAACTTAAACACTCACCTGTATGCAGCGTGAGCTGGACCACGGAAAGCCGAAACGGACATACACACATTTTACCTATCGCGTTTGAAACTTCGTAGGCGTTACAAACACGCAACTGAGACAAGTTATTAGAACCGTTTTATAGTTTAATACAGGAACGTTTTTACAGTAGACCTAATATTTAATGATTTTCTTCAAATAAATTACAACTAGCACACGTAACATTGTAAAATGTAGTAGCCTAAAAAGTGTATATTAGCCTAGAATAGGCTACTTCATTAAACGATAAGGCCCCATGCGCATCCATAGAGATATAGAAATCCTAAACATACACTGATCTGAGCTTATTTATTCAGCTCAGTTCACACTCATTGAGTTACCGAAAAACAACAAAATTGAAGATAAAGACCTTTGGAAAAACTGAAAGAGTTTGATTAAAAGCGGCCTTTGGTATGTTACGCGCGTTGGAGCGCGCGCAGACAGTGTAGGCGAGTGACTTTGGCTGAAGGGACACGCATCAGGCGCTCGCGCATTCGTGGATCAGACCTCACAGAGGAAGCAGCGGAGCACTGATTTCTTGGATTTCTGTTTAGCATCTCGAGTTTGCGCAAATCAATTACCAGCAGCCATTTCTAGTAAATGAACACGTTGTTTGTCGTTCTGTAACGGAGGACCTATGTTTCTCGTGTGCTTTGTCATTTACTTATGAGCATGCCACATTTTCTCCGATGTACCTTAATGGACAAAAAAAATTAAAATGTTAGAAATCTTGGTGATTGGAATGCTTCAACATATTCTAATTTGTACAACTCGAGACCGTTCGACTACCTGTAGGATTGCATCAAGCGCGTGAGGGAGGCGGTGATGCCCAGGAGGTAATGCGCATTAGTATAATGTGACACAATTCGGGATTTTTTGCACTCGAACGAAGGTTTTTGTGCACATTTGTACCCGGTGAATATAAACTAATGGAACCACCGTAATCTCAAGGAGAGCTGGCGGCACGTTGTTTTTGAACAGGCGTTGGGATGCTCTACGTTTATCCTTCGAATAACATTTCCTTGTGACACATATTAATTACTTTTAATGACAATTATTAATAATGTTTTATTTGATTGTCTCCTGATATTTAAAGGGCAATCAATCATGGCACTTATTTATCCACAAAGTGGTCCAACTTTCCAATCAAGCATACTGATATAGATAATGTTGTCATCTTTAACATTAAAAATGTTTGCAGCATTGTATGTTGTAACATGGCAATGTATCTGGCCCATCTGTAGAGATCCGTGAAGCCTTTAAGGTGTTTGACCGTGATGGGAACGGATTCATCTCAAAACAGGAGCTAGGAGTGGCCATGCGGTCTCTTGGTTACATGCCAAATGAAGTGGAGCTGGAGGTGATCATTCAGAGACTGGACATGGATGGTATATCAGCCCTCGCAAAAACTACAGAAACATTCACATTTCTGGACACACATGCTCTGTGTATTTTAGCACATAACATATGTTGTTAAATTGTGTGATATTCTCTAGATCACTATTAATTTGTCTCGTTTTGATTGCATCTAAGCCCTGCTATGGGAACATTTATCAGAGAGGTATGGTGGAATTGCAAATTCAATATAAAACAACTGCAACAGCAAAACAATTCAATATTGTAATGGTTATTGTGAATCATTGAACAAAGGACTGATGTTCCTGATAACGATTCAGAAGATTAAAGTCTGGCTGTTCTGCTCGATCAGCGTAAGATTACAATTGGGATTTTTTGCACTCGAACGAAGGTTTTTGTGCACATTTGTACCCGGTGAATATAAACTAATGGAACCACCGTAATCTCAAGGAGAGCTGGCGGCACGTTGTTTTTGAACAGGCGTTGGGATGCTCTACGTTTATCCTTCAAACCCAGTTGAAGATGTACAGAACACGGGGACATTTCCAGCAATATACGCGTGCCTGTACCATACAAGCTCCGTCTGAATGGCAATACTTGAATGTTTGAATTCAAGTTTTCAAGGCAATAGTTGTTGCACCTGATGCAAAGCAATCTGCAATCGATCGAATGAATGATCATTCCATGCATGAGTGTGCAGAGTGACTAATCGCACCTGGACCACAATAAGACAAGATGGAGAAGAATCAGACACACGTTTTGATTATTGGTTTTGAGATACCAGAAAGCGCTCTGTAGTAAAGTTGCAGTGGCCGAACTACAGGTGCTATATGAAGAACAGGTCACAAGCGTTAATTTGCCCTCGCAGAAATGCCAGTGCGTGCAGTGACTTCCAGGTTCATGTACAGGGGACTTTGCTCAATTCCAGATATCCTCTCCTACAGGACTCCCGTCAGCCTCCCCGAGGATGAAGTGGAGGGTAAGTGATATTTCATTGTGAGTTGAAGAGAGACGTTATCAGTGGCGATAGTGCTGCCAGTACTTTGTGAATGTAGATTTCAGCACCATGGAGAGCGCCCTGCGGCAGCCTCTACTGTCCACTATGAAGAAACTGCTTGTTTTTTTGCCTATACACTACTGACTATTAACAATGGTCGCAAATAATTTGAATAAATAAATATTTTATGTCTTGGTTTTGATATGAATGTATGAACAAACGCCTTCAGATTAAATCTTGTTCTGCTCGATCAGCGTAAGATTACAATTTCCCACAAGAAAAGATTACAGTGAAGCTGGCCTGTGTTTTGGTATCTTTTATTTCGCAGGTGACGGTCAAGTTGACTTTGAAGAGTTCGTAGCACTTCTCGGACCAAAACTCTCTTCAGCTGGTATGCCTGACAGATTCCATGGAGCCGAGTTTGATTCCATATTCTGGAAGGTGAGGAGGTTTTCTTTGAAATAATCTCAATTATTTCCCCCCATAGTCTCAATGATTAGTTCTGTCTGGCTTCAGCTTTACTTTGTCCCATTGTTCTGTGACTCCCTGTGATTACGGGTGGAAAAGAAGATTATTCATACATTATTCACACTCTGCAATTAACTTGCTGACATTTCTTTGGTAGTAATAGCATTGAATTAAAATTAATGTTGAAAGTGCCGTTTCAGTCCATTAGAAGGCAATAGTCTCTTAAATGTGCTATTTCGTATAACTCATCTGTGCATTAGCCCCTGATCATTTATAGCAGTTATATCATCATTTACAGGGATATTAGGCATTTTGAACATTGTTCCTTTAATGAAAAGGTCAATATTACTCTCCATTCTCCTTGTGTCATTAGTGTGACATGCAAAAGCTGACTGTGGATGAGCTGAAGAGACTCCTGTATGACACCTTCTGTGACCATCTGACTATGAAAGACATCGAGAACATCATCATGACTGAGGAGAGTCACTTGAACAGCCCCGAGTGCCAAGTAGATATTGACAGTAAGTCTTCATACGATAACAATTCTCAACAGCAAAGCAAAAAACGATAACAAAATTGTGACAAACATGATACATTGATTTTAGCTTTTTGGCTCTAGCATATTCGCTCCCTGATTCCAGATATCCTCTCCTACAGGACTCCCGTCAGCCTCCCCGAGGATGAAGTGGAGGGTAAGTGATATTTCATTGTGAGTTGAAGAGAGACGTTATCAGTGGCGATAGTGCTGCCAGTACTTTGTGAATGTAGATTTCAGCACCATGGAGAGCGCCCTGCGGCAGCCTCTACTGTCCACTATGAAGAAACTGCTTGTTTTTTTGCCTATACACTACTGACTATTAACAATGGTCGCAAATAATTTGAATAAATAAATATTTTATGTCTTGGTTTTGATATGAATGTATGAACAAACGCCTTCAGATTAAATCTATAATGGAGTTCAAGCTTACAATAAGAACGGTGAAGGCGAGCGTTCATATCTAAATTAGTATTACATTCAAAAATTACAAATAATATAAAATCAAAGACACATTTAAAAAACACATGTAAATTACATTAATTGATAATAACTTTAATAGATGCTTGCACCATATACAAATTTTTTTGTGGAACTACATAAAATAAATGCCATAATTTTGTTTATTGATTGATTGATGTTATGCATACTGTTTCTGTGTACAATCTTTCCAATATGTATGTACATTCATGTGATACACAGACCTACCTGACACTCATTCAGTTCCTGAGAGATAAAGGCCTACCTCTTAATTATATAGTGATGTGGGGAATTTCTTTAGAGCGTATTCTTGTTTATATATATATAAAAAAGAGACATGTCAGAATAAAACAATCAGATACCATATGTAATCTCATGTCTATGCGTTAGCTACAATTAGGTTATTGTGTCCATAGGCCGTATGACACGCTGTTAGCTCAGAAACATATAATGATAAAAGTGTACCCCATTATCTAATATGTTAAAGCTAACAGACTTTCACAATTAATTACATACAAATATATATATAATAATCTCAATTATTTCCCCCCATAGTCTCAATGATTAGTTCTGTCTGGCTTCAGCTTTACTTTGTCCCATTGTTCTGTGACTCCCTGTGATTACGGGTGGAAAAGAAGATTATTCATACATTATTCACACTCTGCAATTAACTTGCTGACATTTCTTTGGTAGTAATAGCATTGAATTAAAATTAATGTTGAAAGTGCCGTTTCAGTCCATTAGAAGGCAATAGTCTCTTAAATGTGCTATTTCGTATAACTCATCTGTGCTTTAGCCCCTGATCATGTATAGCAGTTATATCATAATTTACAGGGATATTAGGCATTTTGAACATTGTTCCTTTAATGAAAAGGTCAATATTACTCTCCATTCTCCTTGTGTCATTAGTGTGACATGCAAAAGCTGACTGTGGATGAGCTGAAGAGACTCCTGTATGACACCTTCTGTGACCATCTGACTATGAAAGACATCGAGAACATCATCATGACTGAGGAGAGTCACTTAAACAGCCCCGAGTGCCAAGTAGATATTGACAGTAAGTCTTCATACACTAACAATTCTCAACAGCAAAGCAAAAAACGATAACAAAATTGTGACAAACATGATACATTGACTTTAGCTGTTTGTCTCTAGCATATTCGCTCCCTGTGTGTGCCCACGCATCCGTTTCATTATGAAGTGCCTGGGCATTATCGTGTCAATCAAAATTGTCTGTCAACTCCATTAAAAACCCAAGACACAGAGGCCATTGCTGCAGTGTAGAAAATGGTCTATTTTTAGCTGAAACATATTCTGGTGATAGTCCTGGGGAAATAAAGGAGCTCATGAATCTGTTTGAAGCAGGACAGTGGGGAATGTATCTGCAATACTGATGAGCACTTGAATACCTCATACTCTTTGGTAGAAAATATCTTTTTACTGAATACCAGCCACTGGCAAGTTTTTATTCCCTTTCATAAGAAGCTTATACACATATTGTGTCGAATTGAAGCAAAAAACAAAACAAAAAAACACTAAAACACACTTGAGGAGAAAGTTAAGAAATGTAATGTTTGTCTTTCCAAAAGAAAAAAAAAGTATGCAATATCACACAAGCATGAGTGCTGTTGTTCTATCAGCTGCAGCAGCTGGAATATTACAGTACAAATGTGAGTGTGGTTACTTTTATACAAAAGGTTAATATTGAGTAAATTACATTTTAGACACAATATTGGCAGTTCTGGTTTGCAACGCCAATGATATACAGTATTTTCAAATGGATCCACAACAGGACTGTGACAACTCCGAGCAAAACACAGTAGTCGTGTTTGGTTTCTAACTTAATAAGCGTTTTTTGAATGAATCATTATTGAGTAAATTATTTAAATTCTCACCCATAAAGTCGCTTGTTTTGTTCCTGAATGAATCAAAGTTTTAGAACGAATGGATTGAATGAATGATTCAATGACTCACTTATAAGACAGGTGTTCGTTTCATTACTGATTGAATCAGTGCTTTTGTGCAAGTCGGTTGAATGAGTGATTCAATGACTCCCTCATAAGGACACTCACTTGTCGCCACCTACTGGTGAAACTATGTAACCTGCAGAAAGAGTCACTGAATAGTCTCCGCTATTAAAAAACAGACTGAAACACATAAATACAGACAAATGAAGTAATACAAACAGTGAAAATTACTAGAGTTTTTGGACTCTTTTAATGCTACCTGACCAATCAGATTTGAGAACTGATGTTGTATAAATATATGTCTATTTGAAAAATGCAGTATCTACAATAACCTTTCTCTTGCATTTTCTTCAATTTGTCCTCAAAGCAAGTCCCATGCAACAAGTCAAGCACACCTGTGTGCGCAAGAGCTTGATTTGTGCCTTCGCCATTGCATTCATCATCAGCGTCATGCTCATCGCAGCCAATCAGATGCTTCGAAGAGGAATGAAATAAACAGTTCTGTTTCTAAGACAATGAATGACTGACAAAAGGAAACAAGATAAAAATGCAAAAAAATCCACTAATTTTACTAGTTTCTAATGATCACTGTTTTACAGAAACACCAAAGGCTGCACTTTCATTCTACTATAAACTCAAGGTAAAGACAGACTGTTGTTAGACAGACAAAAGAATAATTTAGCCCAAAAACAACATAGTTTAAAAGTGTCTTTATCATTATACTATATTAATGACCATTCTCCTATAAAATATTACAGTTTTTCTTAGGCTTATGTTACAAAGTAGACATCTATTATAATGTATTGTGTTGTATAGTTGTAATCCACTTTATATCAATATCATGTCAGGGTCGTTATATAACATGACACAATGACATTGACAAAACGATTTCCCCCTTTTGTAACAATGTTGTGTGACTGGGTCATGTATGTTACACAGTTTTAGATCCAGTAGATCCGAGATTTATTTCACCAACATGGTCTCAAACATCACCGGTTGAACCTTTGGGGATACTCGTGGATACAGAATGAAAAGAGGGAATAAACTAATTTGTCAACACCAAGTCTAAGTCACCATGAGTAGTTAGGCTTAGAGCAATTCAAAAAGAAAATGAATGTACTAGAAATTTACCAGTAATAAACTGTGATGGAAAGTAGAGTATACATTTGGTGACAATCCAAAGTGTTACTGAATCTAACCTGTGCAATTGTCTTTTGTTAACTTAAAAACATTATTTCTTCCAGTCTTGACTCTCAGGATTGTTTGTTGTCAGGTCTTTTATTAAATTGTCTGCTGGTTGTGTGAGGAATATTACTGGCTATTCGTATAGTGTGCCACGTGAGACTAAATGTTTTTGTCGATATCCTGCAATATAATTGTTCTGAGTGTTAATACATATGATTACATATTTGCATGAAGTGTTGCCTAGCATTTTGATAACATCAGTGTTGTCAGTGAATAATCAGTCTGTATCAATATTATTATTATTTTCTTTAACAACTTGTGGATTTCATTGTTCTGGGGTATTGTGATCTGTATAATGGTAAATTCTTAATTTTTAAGTCATGACATTAACGTTCTCTCATCGTTTACGTTTAACTGAGTTTGTGTCCACATTATCCTGGTCAACTGGAAAATTACAGGTTAAGTTTAAGATTTCCATTGCTTTTAAAGCAACTGCATGTCTTTTTTTTTTTACCTTGATATATGGGTTTCAAAATCATTTGACCGAATAGTCTGTTTCTTTTAAACTCTCCCCTCAAAGGTCTGTTCTGGGAGTGAGCGAGTTCAAATTTCTGCGAAAAGGGTGGATTGCTTTACAAATGCATGTGTACAGCTTTCCAATGTAATTAGGAAAGTGAATTCCACTCACTTAACTGCAGGAGGCTCCAAAGTTGCAAAAATACACAAAATTACATACAGCTGCTTCACGTTTATGTATTCATAGCATGACTCAAAGGGAATGAACCAGTGCATGTTATTCAAAAGTATTATTTTCAAGTTAACAAGTTTGTGGCGAGCTAATGGTAACAAGCAATATTTTTGCATACTCTGAAATAAATGTATGCATCCAGCATCTATCTGTAATTTATGCATTTGTCAGTAATCTCAGTGCCTGAACAGTTAATTGGATGTTGTTGTTCTGTGTCTTAGGTTTGAAGTTCAAAGTCAATATTTTTGTGCACTTTCCCAGTATTTAATTCACATGTGTTTGTGCTATATCACAGATGACACTTAACTGATACAAATAAGTTGTTCATTAACATTTCTCAGACTTAATTTGGAAAAACAATAATGTACGTTAAGTCTGTTAAGTCTGTATTTAAATGGATCTGCAACTGCATATGACTGTAATGAAAGTGTTGCATTGGTTTTATGAGGCTGTAGAGTGAAACATATCAATTTACAACTTAAGACTTTTTTTCATAGTATTATTAATATTATATATCACAGAAGGTATTTATGTTATTTGTAGTCAGCAAAATTCAACATTCTGATCATGAAGGTAAATGCTGACATGATGAAAACCTGTTTCTTTGCAGTTGCATGTATTTGTAATTTTCTGACATGTTGTATTGTGTAATGTCAAGGTCAGCCTCTGTTGTTAAAATATGCAATCTATGCTTATTTGATGACAATTTACTGTGAATTAAAGTTACGATTTATATATCTATATCTATACAAATTGAGATATACTGATTTCAGGACATCAGCAACATATCATGCTCTCGATTTCCAAAGCTCAAGCATGTGATCTGCTGTGCAAATTGTTTTTACACACTAATAGGGGTATTATTATTTAATATGTTTTTTCAGTCAGAGTAATAAATGGGTAAAACTCCTAGGATTATATGAAAAATAGTTTTATTTTTGTATTTTTCCAATATTTCTTTATATAAATTCATCTTATTCCACATGGAAATATTACAGCACATTTACTTAAATTACATCTATTACATTCAACTACATAATGGCTGATACACGTTGGCAGTTACAAATTAGCTCACTTAATTATATTAATGTAGTGATGTAACAGTAATATATCCAACTGATGTATGTAACTTTATATTGCATCAATGTAGCCCTAGAAAACAACCCTGAATCTATGATGTGCCAACATGTGCTGATGTTACACAATTAATTGTACCATGTGAACAAACGAATTAAAACAGTGGTGCTTCTTCTTTGGTCTTTCTCCTTGTAATTTTGTTTGTTTGTTTTTTACATTACACACATTACTACAGTAAGCAGCACTTCAAAAAAGGATGCTGGTTTGGCTGAATTAATTTGGTCATATTTCCACACAAGTATGCATATAAAATAAATGCTTTGGTGGAATGGGTCTTCTAACAATTTTTGTTTTTAATTATTCCATGAGCTGTATATACCTGATAACTGATGCTGGTATTAAGTTACTAAACTCAACTAGATCAGGAAAAAGTATCTAGCAGTGACACAGAGGCTTTTAGACAACTAATTTGTCAAATCTTTCTCTAACGCATAGCCAATAAGAACTTTCATCACCAGGCCAGTAAATGTAATGCATCCCAGTCAAGTGTAACATGCATCAGTGCAGACAAGAGGAATTCACTAAGGCCATGCAAGCCAACAGTACAAAACATTCCTGCAACAAGCAATCAGGACTAAATTGAAAACACTCATCTGAATTTCAATCTAAAACACTGACACAGAAGGCAGACAAAAACAATAACTCTGTCCATAGTCTCTCCAACGTTCAGCTTGGGAACACTGTCATCTTCTTGATAGACACCAAATAAAAACAATCAATTATGTTAACTCCTACCTTTTAAGAAAAAATAACACGGTGTTCTTTTCCGGACAGACAAATTACAACTCCATATTATTGATTTATTCAAAACATTCCTATGAACTGTCCACAAAGTAAACTTGTTTATTCATGCAAAACATGATTTCTGTTCAAGCCATATAAGTTCATTGCATTTTTTCACCATGCACCTCAACTTGTATTGCTTTACAATTTGATACAAATGTGCATATTGTTCTCCCTTTAAGAAATAGTTTCATCCAAAAAGGAAAATTATCTGCAAATTTACTCACCCTCAAGCCATTCAAGATGTAGATGAGTTTGTTTCTTCATCTGGTCAGATTTGGAGGAATTTAGCATTACTTGCTCACCAATGGATCACACTTATTCACTGCAGAAGATCTAGTGCTGAGCAAGTGATGGAATAGATTTGGAGAAATTACATTACAAGGAACAAATTATCTACATCTTGGACAGCCTGAGGGTGAGTAAATGTTCAGCAATTCTTTTTCATTTTTGTGTGAAATATTCCTTTAAAGATTTGCATAAAAAGACTTAGTAATGATAATAGTTAGCAGCATGGTCTTTAAAAAAAGAAATAATTAAAAAGTACTTTTATAAATTACATTTCAACCCCATTCATTGTGTAGTGTCACTCTCCAACCACCAGTTGGTGGGGGATGAAGAGATGGAGGAAGATCTGGAATAGACAGCAAATACGGAGGTATCTCAATGTTTTCAGCACATTCTTCCTCTTCAATCTTTAAAACTCTGAAAATAAAAGGAGTAACAGGTCACTGCTGAGCTCAAGAGCATATGTGTGTTTTCTCTACCATTGGAACCTATAGGCAGGTAATTATGCAAATGACACAGCTGTAGGCTGCAGGCATCTCATTTTAATGTGTCAGGGTGACCTCTAAAACAAGATTTTTCATGCATTTTGAATTCTCTGAAACACACTTGCACCATAGCAGCTGGAATTCTTCATCCATTAAGTTAAGCAACATATTCAATCATAACATAAATTTGGGTGTTTTAGACTAAAAAAAATGTAACAGCAATTGGTATAATACTAAACCCCAAACAATGGGTAACATAAGCACAAACATTCATGGTAGAATGTGAATTATGAGTTCCATGCGAGTAAGAAAAGTGATCATTTGTCAACATCAAAGTCAAAATAATAAGTAACTAAACCCATCTTAGTGAATGAAACACTTATTAGAAACACTCCAGCCTTTTCAAATCATCATTCTGTGCAGTATCCTGCATTAAGTACCTTCCTGATGTCAAAGCAGCCAGTTTCTTCTCTCTTCTGGAGAGCCATTCATCAATGCTGCGCTCATTAGATGATCCATCTTGATCAGGGTCTTCCTTCTGCCGCTTTTCATCTGACAGGAAATTGCCACAATGTACTCAGTCTAACAAACTGTGAAAATTTCTAAGTGTATGCCAACAGCCCTCAGCATTAAAGGGTTAGTTCACCCCAAAATGAAAATTCTGTCATTAATTACTCACCCTCATGTCATTCAAAACCCATAAGACCTTCGTTTAGCCGATGTTATCGGCCGATATGAGCCTGTCGCCGATATATCTGTATCTGCGTATATGCCGCAGATATGCCGCCGATATGAAAATTTTTTTTACGTGCTGACACAAAGTTCAAATGATTTTCAACAGTCGCTTTGTCGCATCCTGCTGAGGCACAGACACGGTCTCAGCATAGTTTGTCAGTAGTCAGTAACGTAGCAGATTGAAAAGTTAGTATCTTTCTGCAGTCCAATAGACGGTATATATATATATATACACTGTGTCTGTAGTGCTGGGCGGTATACCGGTTCATACCGAATACCTGTGTTTATTTTTGTTAAGATATTAATTTTTAAAATACCGCAATACCGGTGTATGTAGCTTAAACAACGTTCGGAACGCGACACTGTTTGAAAGGGGTCCCTTTTCACTGTTGCAC